GTCGAGAAACATCGGAAATCTATAATAAATCTATAATAAATATGTACCCTTTACTCTCGGCGAAAAAAGAATTCAAATTTTCCTGAGGAAATTTGTTAAACAATGTTACGAAGATCATTAGCGATCGTGTGGCGAAGAAATGTCGGGAAAAGTGGCGGAAAAGACGGTAGTTCGCGGCATTGGCTGTACGTAGGCGAGTAGCAGGCGTAAAATAGTGACGAAGCTAGATTCGGAGGAGGCGCGTGTTGGCGATAAGAATACGGCTATTTGCTCGTTGACAGGCGTCCTCGGCGTAGCGGCGCGCGCGTGGATCTCGATGGCGGAAACGTCAGCCGGGGCCGGTTACGAAAAAGGCACGGGGCGCGATCGAGAAGTTCGCGAGCGGGGACGACGCGAATAGAGCGGCCGTTGACGGTCACCGTCGTGACGTCAGCCGCTTTCGCGGTGACGAAGCGGGCAGAAGCATCGGAAGATCGTTATTTACGACGTCGGATCGAGGAGAGTCGGGTTTGCGTCTTCTTACGCAAGCCCGGGAAAATAGAGTCGCAGGCGAGATTGCGGCGCATAATGTTAAAAGCGAGGTGGTAGCGGCGAACGCAATAAAAATTTTGTTTGCGACGCGTACGCGAACGACTCGTGATACGTGAACGCTGTTACGCAACCGATCGAGCCACGTACGACGACACGTACGACAATAAAAATTCTGCTAACCGAGCACGCGGACCTCTCGTTACGATAAACCGGCCGAAAATCGTTTTCCACCGGGACACTTGTCGAGATGAGTTGCATCATTGCTGAAGAAGCGGACGGAGAGGAATCTCGAGGCAGAGTCGCGAGTTGTTGAACCTCTATCACAACTTAAACGACAGTTTCCAAATTTTTCATTGAAAATTCTGCACTCCGCGCTCGATTTCTCGATACTTCTCTCTTTAGACCAGAACTACCGATCTTTAATGGATACCTCAATTTGTATAATTTTACTATGAATAAAATTGATATATAGTGGGTAATTGTAACTGAATAATTTTAAAATGCACAGTTTCCCGTAATTAAATCACAGTACTCGGACGATTCTATGATGGCGACCTGGATTTGACAGGCTGTTTCCAACTGTACCACGAAAGCACGCCCCTGGTGCTATGGTACGAATAATGATTTAAAAATATGCGCGCCGCGTTCACTTTTCACTTCTCGAAATAAATAATCCCGATTTTCGAAATTAATTCGATTATAAAGCATTAAAGTCCGAAGCGACTGGGTTGAGGGATGTGTATACACACTCGACCCTCCTATAACACGATTAATTCGTTTCGTGCTGTATGGAAGCCGTGTCGAGCGACACCTGAACACCACAACTAACGACCTGTAATACGCGTTTAACTCCAGAATTCCTTGCGTCCTTTTTGACCCGTACCAGTTTTCCAAACTATTAAAAAAACTGACGTAATTATAGATAAAACTGTAATAATATCTACACCGATATATTTGCTTTTTAGCCCTTAATGAAATCCATCGTGTATATATATATATGCACGATGTGTTTCGCATTATATCGAAACTGTGTTCTCGAAAGGCTGTATAACGCAAAAAGTGTGTCGATCGAAGTTCGGAGATAACGCAAACCCGGAGAATTTAATCCGAATACTTTTAGTAATTTGAAAAATTTATCCGATAAATCAAAAATAAAAATGAAGAGGAATATATCCGAAAATCCGTATACCCGAGCTAAAAATAATTCTAAAACTAATTTTCAAAATAATTTAAAAGGTAATCACGCGCACAGGTGTGGGCTCGGAGAATGAAATGAAACGCTGGAACGGTTAAATCGGTTCGTCGGATGAAATCGGTTGCGGATACGAAACGCAGATGTTCGGAGGTATCGAGAGGCGGAGCCACGTGTTTGACCCTTTTCTTAAATGTCACAACGCTGGCGAAGACGTATCTCGCGGATGGACCGTAACGCGATAGTCGAACAACGGGAATATTTTCCTGCAGCGTGGTACGTATCGCGGATCGAGCAGCCTGTTTATTCGATTACAATAACCCGGCACAGCGAAGGCCGTCCGGATGTAAACATGGTCGTGTTTGTCGTCTCCGGACCGAGTTGTCTCGATCGTCGTTGCTTTTTCAGGGCGTCGATGGCGCGTGAAAGGACTCGGCACTGGACCGATCGGAGAATCGACCGTTGGTAACAAAATTCTTTTCCTCGCGAAGGGAGAACTATGTCGGCCACGGAAAATTCACGGTTGTCGATCAGCACCGAAAGAGCAACGGAACACGATTATTTTCGGATAATCCGCGATTTGGTACGTCCCTATACTCCCGGGTTCGTCATGCGATTAAACGAACGTTTAACCCCATTGTCGAAAACCGAAACGAAAAACCAGAGACCAGTGTCCGTAATGCGAATGTTTTTGTACACCGGGTATATTCTGATTTTGTTTTCTATTCGAACGACCTCGTAAAAGGTGCGTTTTGTCGCTAGGAATCTAAATCGGTTGTAGGCGCGCGCAGTCGAAAACAAGGGATGCGTTCCAAAAATCGCGTCATTCGCGTTGCAACGGCTTGGAAAATTATAAACCGATTAGCTCTCTCTGTCTCCGTCTACGTGACTACGTAGCCCCGCTAGGAGCGCGCGGAAGGGCCGTGGTGGGGAGAGAAGGGCGCTCGGGGCGAATCCTTTAAAAAGGTCGGTTTTCAAGGGAGACAGGAGCAGATGGAGAAAACGGGAGATCGGAGAGGAAGCTTCCGAGCGGAGGTCGGCGTGGAATCGGTCGAGAGCGGTAAACAAGGAGGCGAGAGTGGCGACGAAACGAGGTTGGCCGAGCAGTCGCGAGGTCAGTGACTAAAGAGAGAAATAACGTGGAATGCGATATAGCCGCGCCGCCGCTCTGCCTATTGACGTTCCGAGGACCTTTTACCGAGGAACTGGCCACGGCGATCGACACCGACGCCGATCGCGTGCTCTACAGAGCTCCTGATCTCTTCTACGAACTCGTGCGCCACTCTGTTTTATTCCCTTCCTTGTCTACGTCGCTACGCTGCACGCTTTCTCCGTCTCTCTCTTTCCCCGTTCCTCGCACCGCCATTTTTATACCCCGATCCCCCTCCACTCGCCCCACGAGGGCACACAACGCGCTCTGAACACGTACGCGATTTTCACATGTCAAGGCGGCCGCAGGACAACGAAAGCATCGGTATCATTCGAAAGCATCCGCCACGCCGAGCCTCTCTTCGTTGAATCGATCTTTATCCGGCCTAAAGGAAACTCGAGACGAACGATATATCCATAATCGATCGTATGTCACGCAACGTCAGAGGTAAACGATCGCACGCTTCCTTTACGCCTTTATTCTACGCCTGTGTACGTTTACTTTGTGTTCGGATACAGGAAAGACGGGGCAATGCACACGCCGCGAGACAGACTGGACTGTGACAGCGGCCAAACGGACGATCAATGAGAATCGAAAGCCGCGTTCGAAGTGAACGTTCGATTCGATTGTCGTGTGGTACTGGCGCGTATTCGTACGCGAGGAACGCGAGCCACGGTGCGAGAATTCGATCGAGGGGACACACTGCTATCGAGAACACACGCGTCTTCCGATTTCGCGGTTCGTAATAGTCGCGGCCAAGCACGGCGCTGCTCCGAAAATACATCGCGGGCACGATGTTCGATAGATACGACGCCGTGACCGGGATCGTAGGAACGTGGCTGTTCTATCAGAGAAACACCGCGAGATTCGCTTACCGTGTCAACGTGCAGGAGAGTAGAATCCTGGATACTCCCGGCGGAACGTCGAGAATCGAAGCCGATCGAAAGTCGATCGATGACACTGGAAATCGGTCAACACCGAGGACACTTGTTCTATGTAAACACGCGTATCAGTCACTACACACGTAAACACATACGCACAAAGAGGAACACACGAGGTGGTCCGCGGTCGAGTTCTCAGAGAGACCGACTAACTTGGTTAAACCGCACTAAAATTCCACGTATGTGGCCGTGTTTGCGAGACACACGGCGAACGATCTATCCGTGTACGGTACAATTCATTCTGAGCCGTCGTATCGCGCTCGTTCAGCAGAAAAATCACGATTACTCGGGACGCAGATTCCCCGCATGAGTCGCACACAAGTTGTTTACTAGAACGCGCACCACGCCATGCCCCGTGAACGTGCGTCCGCCTCCGTACTCCCCTCGTCCCGCCGAGCAAAACAAGACTCTGCGCAGTAGCCTCGCGCGCACCTTCCGGGCCATGTTCGCACGAGGCGATGTGTGCGCCGTTTGTCGTTGCCTCGTGGTCCACCAAGGCGCCTTCGTCCGCCTGCTTTCCTCCCTCTCTCTTTCTGTCGTCCTCTCTTGCTCTATCCTTCTTTACCTATCTCTTTTTCTCTACCGCGAGCTAGCTCGCGCGCGCGTTCTTTTTCTCTCTCTCTCTCTCTCTCTCTCCCTCTTTATCCCGTTCTCGTTTTCCTCGACCTCTTCGTCTTTCTTTCCGAGATTGGCTCGCTCGTTTCTGTTCCCCTCCCTTTTCGCGAACCTTGCTCGTGTCTATCGTTAGGTCCATACGATAACCGTGCTATATGCTCCGACGAGGCATAACGGCCAAGTAGAATTCAACGGATCTCGCCTTACGTTCTACGACGCAACCACGATTCGCCACGTAACGCGTAAATCGAGCAGGTCATCGTACCCTCGCGCTGCCACCACGCCGGTCCGTTTCGTTGGAAAATTCCGAGGGCATACCGCAGCCCTGCAGCGACATCTCTCCGTAAATATGCGCGAATTTCTGTCGTGTCGGTAAAGATGATTTCTTTCGTGCACGTTATCGTGCGAGTCAGTAATTGGCGGGAAAAGTTTGATCCGTCTCCGGAATCAAACTTTTTTAATCAGGACTCTTTTATTTCTTAAAAACTTCTTATACAATTTCATTGTAAAAATGTCTTTTGGCAGTATGCTTCTCCATGTAAAATCGGAGAAACAACGGATGTAGAGTGATCGGGTTGGTTACAACGTGAGATTTACGAGGATCAGGAGAGTATTGAACGAAATTTCTTATTTTACGATACGAACATTCTTATCCTCATTTCTAATTTAAACATCGCGAGACTGAAAGCAACGTGAGAAGACCCAAGGACATGGACAGAATGCAAACGAGGCTCAGAGTGTCTCTGTTGTAATTCGGGCAAAGTGCAGGTTGCGTGCATCTCCTGAAAAAATTTTTCGACATGATTCCTCGTCGATGTTTAAAATCTCTCGATAAATATCAATTTACTCACAGTTTCTCGATGAAGATAACGACCAATCCAGTGACGACTTTATCGAGGAAAGTCACTATCGAGTAGACAATAGCGCTTCGTTCGGTTCGCGGTCCAATTATTTCCGCAGTCACACTCAAAGCTGTGACCATCGTGATCGAGCTTGCACTTCCGATTAAAATCGCTACTATGTATATGACTACCGCGGAAGATCCACCATATTCCGTGACCGCGGCGGAAAGTATACCGATTAAAGTGCCCAAGAAGTAGCATACCTGAAAAGTAGAAAACATCCGTGTTTTCGACAAACTGCTACCTTCCATTTAATCACGCCAATTTGTATCGAAAAACACACCTTTGTTCCACACGACTTGTTTATGTACTTCAGCAATAAAGCTGCGACAAAGGAGGATATGTAAGAGGCCAATGGAACGGTAGCAAGAGCCTCTTTCCCATCGACGTCCGATTCTTCTATGTAAAGGGGCAAATACACCGTGGCCAATGTGATAAACAGTCTGCTGGCTACGTATAGCATAGCCACCCTCAACAACATTGTCGTACTGACCCAGGTGCTTCGATCACTTTGAGGATTATCGATTAGTCTCCTAGCTTCTTCAGCGTTCCCTTTGTGCGAATTGGAATTCTCTAAGAGATTCCCTTTCAAAAACACGTGGAAGAGTATGGTAGCCACCAGACCGAAGGACGTTAAAGTCAGCACGATGTTCTGAAAAGAAAGGGTAAAGGAAAATCTTCGTTAAGCCTTGGTCTCCGTTACAAATTTCCTGCAGTTCTAAGGAGGATTAGAACGATTGAGGGCGCACAATGATGGGGACGAAGATACATGACATTTCCTTGTGATACATTCTAGTGAAAGAAACAGCAGGTACAGGTAATTTTGATATCTTCCCCTAAGTTTAGTTTGGATCACTCACTCTAAATTTGTAACTATCCTGTTCAGCCAATCGCACCATTGCTTCCTCGTTCGTGGGTAGAACTATCCATGTAACGATAAATACCGCAACGGCTGCTCCAACTTGAGCGGAATACCTGTACACCATAATGGTTCAGAGTTGCTATAAATAACGATAAATAGTTCTAAAGTTAGAGTAGGCGTGAAAGTTACCTTATCGCTGTCAAGTCTGCCCTTGCCAGTAATGAATTCGTCAGCGCGGGAATCATGGATAAATGCGATATTTGCACGGCTGCCCAGCCAGTTTGAAATACGGAGATGCTGATCACGTAGAGAGCCATGATACCCGCGTTTGCCGGCTCGATAAAGCCACCAAAAATCAGTGGAAACGACACTGTGACCATCACCGAGCCGATTATGTGCCAAACTTTTTTCTTCAGGTATCGGTCCACCAGTATTCCGAAGATTGGAGTCATGAAGGCATCCACGATTTGACCTTAAATATAATGCCAATTGCCTCATTATTGTTTCAAACGTAGTTTGCGAATTTTCAAATTTTTTAATTTTTAAGCTTCCAATTAAATTATCAAATTTTCTTGATACCTTTTCCAAGTCTTTTGGCACATTTTGCCAATGACTTTTCTCGACTTAGAATTTAAATCTCGTTTACCTAAAAGTAAGAGAGCACCAGCAATGATAGGTTCCAGCAGGGCCACCCTTTGAAAATAGAGAAGGGTGTAGGAGAACCACATGGCGGCAGTGAGATCATTGAAAACGTGACCCAAAGCATAGGCTGCTTTTGTCGCGGTGCTTACTTTCTTCTCCAACAACGGAGATCGCTCCTCCATGTTCTCCATTTTCGTGAAAATTCAACTGACGATTCTGACACGACTCGAAGAAGTTCAAGAACAACTTTGATGTGCTCGCGTTTCAAGTAAACCCGTTGCCATTGTACAAGAAACTCTCCATTTTCGAGCTGCTACCTTCTGAAAATTAGATCGTGATTGTTCAAAAATGTATCTCCCGAGATATAATATTTTAAGAGTTCTAAAAATATTATAATTGATCTCAATCAGTGTTATGATTAGCCGTATAGCAATGCAAATGACAGGGATTGTAAGTCAAAGGTATATATTACATGTTTACATTGACTAAGAAATTGTTCACTGATGTAATTTGATGACTAATACCATGAAAATATAAACGAGGCCATATAATCATCGTGAGATTTCCCAAGTAACGCGAAGCTCGCATACACACCCTTCACCCCTTTCGATCAATTATCAATATACAACGTACCCTATAACGTTCAAAAAGATCGTTTACATTTACAAAAAAAAAAGAAAAAAAGAAAAAAGAATATTTATTTCCAAATTAAAAACTCACACTTAGTCGTCAAAACTTTCATGGAAGCGGCAGTCTATCTATGGTGAAAACTTTTCGCGAAGACATCGAAAGTCACAAGACGCCTATGAATATCGAAACGTTCGCTGTGGGTCGACCATCAACGCCGCCTGGACGCAGCACAAGAAGCGCGAGAGGACGTATTTTCACGGAGACCTACTCTTTTTTAAGGAAGTGGTTTCAACTGGCCTCCCTTTCACCCGCGAATCAATCCGTGGCCACTATTTCCGCTTAAGGCTACGCACCTCCAAGAAAGCGTGCCGCCACTGGGACTTGTTAGTCGACCGACCGATCGATCGATCGCAAGAAACTCGGATACGTTATCTGTGTCCAAGAGCGTGGAATCGTTGACGAAGTGTGATGAATATGTCGACAAAACGTTCCACGATTACCTGTCACGGTATCGAATTCCACGCGGCTATGCTGTCACCGGATGAGATCGTGTACCGTATATTTGTTTTTCGCGATTATACGCTTTTCCTCGTTTCCTGTCGTATATCGATCGCTCGCGAGCGCATCGAACGTGGAACGTAACCTGCGGCACGATTCACTGCATCGAAACAATTCGATCGACTCGCCGAAGGATCACGAACTATATACGTCACAGATGATATTTACGAGGAATTTTTGCGATGCATCGGTTCGGTCACGAAACGAAGTGATTTAATCTACGGTACGTGAGGTAACTAGATGGTTCGTGTATACACGCATTCTGCCCGCGACCGTGAGCGATACACGCGACTATCCGCGACGTGACCACCTGAGCGACTGAACTTTCAAACGCGCGCAGTTTCCCGCTTCACGGATCGGAGATTATCGTTAAATCGAAGGCTCGATTACTACGACGCGTTACCGCCTCCCGATAACCGCAATCTTATCGAATATTTCTCGTGTATAGGACTAGAAATGGGATACGTAGTTGAATTTGTGATTGGTTTGGAGACAAATGTGATTGAGAGGCGTGTGAGGAGTTGTGAACAAGCAGTGGCTGAATGTGTTGGGTTATGACGTATGTTACGAAATGGATTGAGGTTCGGTGACAGGGCACTTAAAATATGAGATCATCAAAGCATTAGCGGTTTATTGAATTCTATGAGCCTGTGTTCGAAACGTGGCGATTAGAAAATGGTGGAAAATCGTACCGCTATTTTAACTAGCTACGTGTAACGTTCGAAACAAAGCCCTTGCTTGTAATTATAATGGAGAACTTCATAGAGTAGCTATATATACACGAAGGGTGGATGCTGGTGCGTTAAGTTTCATTGAAAAGACTCAACCAGGCCAACCGAGAACATGGTCTGAACTAGTGTGTGTTTGCGGTTCGGTACATAGTTGTAATTAATGCGTGGCATGCAGGGGTGTGTAAAGGTGTCCCATAGGCAAGAAAGGCCCTGTAATCCGAGCCCGCTAGAGAGAAACGCGAGCGAGAGCGCGCGTAAGAAATCGATACCGGACAAGTTCTTGTACGGTCTCTCAGTTAGGCGGTCTTGCAAACTGTATATGTCCTGAGAGTTCATTCACCGGCGAGTGGCACAAGCGAGGTAAATTACCTCAAACGAGCTGATATTTTGCCAGGTGAAACGTAGAAAGTACGTATCCCTCCATTGTTTTCCATTCTCTTTATACCAGATTTTACAAAATTATATTTATTTTAAGTAAGCTTATACAAATTTTATCGAGAATTGAGTATATCGATGTTTGCTTAATCGCGATAGTTCGTTTCCTTTTTTTTTTTTCTTTTCCTTATCTACTTTATACTTAATTATATATAATTGAGTTCGTTATCTATGATGAACACTTTTTCCAGTTTTCTTTCCTTCATAAAAATTATGTCCTACATGTTATCGTTCCATTACGAACGATGCACGATGTTTTCAGTATTTCAAATTCAAATTTGAAACGAAGGGACTTGGAACCGGTAAATATTCGCCTAAGAAAATATAACAAGATGCATTCCCAAACATCATGATAAAAATAGAGTAAACGTTTCGTAATACTAGTATCTATATACGTAGGATATTTAGGCATATTTGATATGGCGAATATATTTGAAAAACGTTTAAAAATTACTATTATAATCGTACGCGTTAGTGGACGTGCATTATCCATAACGCGTAAATTAGGTTAGTCGATGACTGGGGAATAAAAAGGGGATCACACACATACATATATATATAATGCATGTCGATATGACAACTTATAAGTAACGCTATGACTTCTTTCCTTTTGAAGCAGCATACTCGGTACCTTCAAACTGCCTCAAGTGTATCTGCAAATACATTTCAGTTTTACTTTTACTTAATAATATAAACATTTATCAATTGCGTCGGTAACGATAAGTTACGCATACCTGCAAATGTAAATTTACTTCTGCCGCTCGACTTAAATATGGAAAATTTCCACCGCTTTTTAAGTGAGCCAATTTAGCATTTGGGTAACACTTGTACACTTCCTCTCTCACCGCATTCGATAACGCGTACTCGTCAAAAACGTCTATAATCGTGATGGGCAAATGGCATATCTTTTGCGGCTGTACATAGCAATTGACGCAATTCATGGTTAATCGAGATGCCAATTCCGGTTGTGTCAAGCTCTCCAACTGTAAACAGAAATAACTTTATGTAACCATCTTTAAGCAAAATAGCAAGAGAAATATGTGGGAAAATACGTACTCTCTCTACCATAAAATCAATGGCTTCTACTATCTCTCCGTCGACCTTGTCGGTTACGAAGTTTCCCATTACCATCTTTTTCAATACCAACGATGGTAAAATCCAAAAGCTATGATTCAAATTGATTAGCAATAGTTACACGCAAAACATTCGAGATAACGTATCGCGTTCTGTCATATGTTCACTTATCGCTGAACAAGCGAGAAACAAATGATGAAATACGATGAATTCGTTTGACTTTATAACAGTTTAAAAACAATACAAAATTAGATATGAAATAACGTACTTACACTGCTGCGGAGTCGTTGTAACTGAACACCGACGTATCTGTGAACGTATTACACAGTACCAACGATACTACTCTGGGACAATGAGCGTTCAACTCGGTGAACTTTTGGGCCAGAAAGCCACCTAAAAATAAAATATCTCCCTTAAGCATTCGAATGTATTCTCGCTGTTGAGTCGAATGTCCAGTTTCGTTCGTACGTTCTGACCTAATGAGGCGCCAAAAAGGTGCACCTTATCTAGCTCCATGTAGTCTAACAATTTTTTAAATCCTTCGCACCATTCCTTGATATTCCAGTACACCGGTGGTTCGGCCTGAAATGTAAATTATTTTACGTCAATCTATTTTATGCAAAGCAACCTTCATATATCTCCATGTTTATAAAACTTACCGATATAATTCTGTATCCTTTGGCTGCTAAACCCAAGACTTGTTTAAAAAAAACATCGGCAGTTCCACTGACTGGTGGAAGACATACGAGTGGGCACTTGATAGTTTTTGGACTAGAATCGTATACTTTCCAACCCTGAAACATAATTTTTAGCATGTATAAGAATCTCTGTCCGACTGTCCTCCATTTTTATTCCCGCCATTTTTAAACAGAGATAGAAGAAAATCACGACGTGTTTAATTTGCGCGAGTATCGATAATATCGATTGCGTTTCGCGATAGAAATCGTAAGGTAGAAAAATATTCCTATTCGTTCAAATTAGCTTCGCTAAGAATGCCAGTTTAGTCGAATCCTTGGACACGAGATTTGTTTACGATAATTACAGTCGCGAGGTCATCGTTACGGGTCTCGATCTCAAATGTAATCTCATCGAATAGGACCTTCGAATGGAGAGTTTGATGTATAATTAATATGAACGATTACCTTGGTGCCATCGGCGTCGACGATAATTTTTCTGAGCGGTATAGAGCTACGGAAGCTGAGATATTCCTGCGATCGTGAAAGATCACTCGAGCACGACATTTTCTCCGTTGCACCGTTGATTATGCTATTTTATCGTTGCAGAATTGTTTGCGTTCAGGGTTACCGATATCTGCGAAGAGAGAGAAAGAGGGAAGAAATGAGACACAGAATAGCTGGACTGTTCAATGTCGAAATTATAACGTGAAAGATCGTTCGATTCTTGAATGACAGAAACGCAAACTAAGATTCATTTAAGGTTTAAAGTTACTACAAAATTAAAATACGGAATGAATGCAATTGTATGTTATATCGAATTAAACCAACCTCAAGACCAGGTTACAATTTGGATGGTTCCCCTCGTATCGTTATTCGCAGCAGGCATCTTTGATTCACAAAGGTTACTCTAGTAAAATAACCGAGTTATCCGGCAACTTGTAAGGTCAAATTACTTTAATAACACTTATTTGCGAGTGTATATCGACAGTACCGTTCGGTTTACTACTCTCCTTTCCGAGCATTGTCGTCCTTTGTCTCTCTCATATCTCGCATGGATTCCGTTGTATTGTCTACTGTGGAAGACGCCAGTGCGCAAGCGCGGCGACTGCCATGACACGTCGGTAACGTCACGACTCGATTTTACCAAAGAACGATAAACATTACGCGTTTCTTATATTCCACTATAACAACTCGCACTAATCTATATTTCCTTACAGTCGCAAAATATTCGTAGAAGACGATCAAAATAAAACAAAGTTCCGCGGTTATCAGATAATACTCGCGCAAACCTACGATGCGAATTATTTCTCCTCTCTTACATTCTCCGCGGTAAAATCACCTTCTTCAAAATATAAAACATACATCTTCGCTTTAACAGATGGCAGCAGCAGTTACATTGACGATATATAAACGAAATCGCAGCAGTACACGTTCATTACCATCGGTCAATAATCGATTGCAAATTTCACGTGATATTTCACGCGAAAAGTATCTTCGAAAAATTTACTACGAGTTCATTAAGCCTATCGAACATGTTTCGCCACGGGTTATCTGCTTTACCTAGAGAACCCGAGCGTGGGCATCTGGTCGATAAAGCATTATCTAAACCGTAATTACGTGTGAATAAACAAAGAAACATCGGTGAGCATTTTTCCGGGACAATTCGGCATTAAGGATCGGTGCAGTGGCGATTTGCGCGGGTAATCGTGGCAAATATTTACACAGCCCGGGAAGGAGGGTCGCAACCACCGACTCATGTAGGGGTGTGGCATAGCTGGTTGCGTATCTTTAAGCACACTCGTAGTTCGATGTACACCAAATACCTCTCTACCAACCTACCGACTATAAGATTAACGATTCCGCCTGTTCCGTGATATTACCCAAGGGTATTCGCCGGCCAGTTTCTCATTCCCTTTCTCATTTACGCTTCCACCGTTTCCTCGGTTCCGGAATTTTTCAATCACCGGCAAAAATGGAAAACAATTTATACCGGATCTTAATAAAACGAAAGGAGCGAGTTTCCCCCCCTATTACGGTATGCAGATGCTGCTCGACGAGAAAACGCGGCGAGTCTCGGCCGGGTGAACGTTAATAATACGAAATCACGCGGGAAGTGGATGCTTTTATTTTAATCCCGTAACGCTTACGCTTGTTAAGAGATCGGGGATAATTAACCGCAATTCATCCGGCAATAATACGATCCATCGTCGGGTATCGCGAGCATTTATCAGTCGCGATTAATCTAAGCTTTCCGCAGTCACGAATGCGAAATGCCCGGCAAGGTTTACATTGGCAGAGGCTCGGGTCATTAATAACCGATACCGAGAGAACTTCGTTGCTGTCCCGCGTTAATTCGACGTATCGAATCGAACGACACACCGACGCTCGTTAATCTTCTTCCCCAATCCGTCACTCGAAGCGATTTATTTAAGGAACGAATGTATGCGCGTACGCTCCTATCTACGTACCTCGTCTCCCTTTCCATCCTTTTTTTCCATTCTCTATTAAGCTTCTTTTCGCCGGGCGTAAAAACAACCGCTCTGGCTAAACTTAATTAATGCGCGCAGCGTCCAGGGGCCGGATGAAATATCGCCGCGATGGCGACAGATCGCAGCGCCGATCGCGTCGCGATCCACCATTTCAGAGAAACCGTGAGGCGACACGAAGCGAAACGAAACGCGAAAACCGCGGTGGCAACGTGCAAAGCGTCGGCTATAAAATTGATCGAACAACGGTAATAACGCGATCGATAAGGCAGAAGCAGATGGAAGAGTATACTACACAGCGGTGAACGGTCGCAGAAACTCGATTGGGCAGGAAGTGGTTTAACGAGTGCCGAGGGAAAGCACGAATTTTCCCGAGGATCCGATGGCTCGCCGGTATCGCTCCTATTACCGAAAGGTTAACTGCGCTTTGGATTTTAGAACATGGCTATAAATACCTGTAATAAAGCGCGCGATCATTAATCTTGGACGGTAATTTCGGTTTGCAGTGGCGACATTCGCCGTCTCCTTTGCTCTCCATTCCGCTCCCTCGGCGTCATCCTCGGCATCCCTTTCGTCCCGGCCTCTCCGCAGCCTGCGGGCCGCTTGGTCGCGCGGCGCACGGTATCCTGCTCGTTCTCGCGCTTCCTAGGATAATTAATGATCCTAAAAGCGATCTCTACTCACGGTTCTCTCGTTTCGGCTCGATCTTTCTCCGTCTCGCCAGCCACCGCCTCCGCGGCCCCCTCGTCCCGTCGTTCCCCTCGTTACGACACCGGAACTCGCTCTCGCCGATTCTAATACCTCTGCCTTCCTCCCATTCCTCCTCGTTCCGTCCATTCCCATGCACTCCGCGATTCCGATAGCTCCGACGGTCGGTTTCGAGACTCGACGAGAAACGAGAGGCGATCGAGTGCCCTCTATCGGAAGGACCCTTGAATTTTCGGCGCGTCGTTAACCACGTCGCTGCCATTGCTCGTGGTTCAATGGGAAAGATTAAGCATCGTCTTTGGACGGTTTCGTGGCAGTGTTTCCAAATTCGTTTTGCGCATCGAGCATTGTTCGAGCGTGCCTGCGACGATGGATCGGAACGGCTCGGGATTAGCAACGGCCGAAGGAGTTGGGCAAAGATGGAAAGGGGAACGGAGGAAGGAATTAGCATAGAGGGACCAGGTGGCGTCTTGGGCCAGTCTTCGGCAGCCGTCGATCTCTAATTATCTGGAAACAGGGAACAGCGCCTTCTCACCCTTTATAAGCGCTTTCTCGCCCGATAATAAACGAATATTTTCATGACAATCGGTCGAAACAGGGAGAGGAAGACCGGGAGACGTTCGACGAGCATTATCTCGCCTCGGCTAATTCCTTCGGCGCGAGTTACTCGCTCAGCCTCCCGATCCATCCACCAACCTCCTCCTCTCTCTCTCCCTCTCGCCATCTCCGTCGCTCTCGCACGCGAGAGCCTTTCTTCCCGGCCAGTGAATACGGAAGCGACGAAAGCTGGAATTTCCGGTTGATTCGGCACGCTAACGATGGGGTGGTTCAACACCCCATAGGGACCACGAAGACTTACGCGACGATCCCCCCATTGTCAACCTTTTGCCGCAATCTGCTCGCCGATTTGCACAATAATGGACACGCACCGGCGGGCAGCAAATTAGCGCAGAGAATCCGTTGAATCGCTCTCGTCTGGCATCTCCATCTCCAGTACCGTCCTCTAAACGGTACCAGATTCTGGACGAGAGTCCGATCGTCGTCGTCGTCGTGGTCGTCGTCACGATCGAGGTTCTCTGGTGAAAATCTCGGGACAAAAGCACGCGGTGCACAGTTGGTTCGCGCGTGGCGAATGGAGCGTGCCGCGGGAAACGGAGGAACGGAATCGGCGTGGAAGGTATAATGGTAGCTGGATCATTTGCATTATTCTAATGGTCGGTTGCGTTGCATGTACGGTCTCGCGATTTCTTTGGTAAGCCGGCGTAGCCTGGCGTCCATTGTCCGATCGGCGCGCGCGGAACGGCGCGTGAAACGACAATCGCGGAGAGAACGAGGATTCGATACCGCGTGATTCATCGGCGTGCAAAAAGGCGAATGGATATATTAACCTCGTCGTGCCAGATTCCCGCGGTCCGATTCCGCGAACGGAAAACCTTCGCAGCCTGGATATCCGTTCTTGCATCAATATTTAATCGCGGCTAACAAGATGGCGGTGGTATGCACGCCACCCAGATGGGCTATAAAAGCGCGAGGAGGCCCCGTAATAGTTAACTTACGTTCTCGGTACATCCTCGCGCTGGTGTGCGCTGACGACAACGCGTCTGGTGGGGAGGAAAGTTCACCAAGTACACGGAGAAAGAAAGGAGAGATTTCCGTGAGGCGAAACGGAGAAAGAAAGAGCAAATAGTTGGACCCCGTGGTTAGACGCGCAGGCCTGAGAATTGTCAATCGAAGGTGCCAAGAAACGAGCGAACGTGCAGAGGCGCGGCTTCTCAAACACGTCCTTCCTGTGCCAGGGGCAACCAGCGTTCTTCCTCGTGGCCGATGCGTTATCTCGATTAGACGAAACTCGGACGAACGCTCGGACCCCACGATAAAACGCTTACAGGGGACTCCGGATCTGCGGGAAATAATGGGAAATAAGTCCCCGGTAAATTTTCCGGGGTTAATTAATTTTCGAGAAATTCGGAGATCGAGATAACGCGAAATCTTCTAATGGGACGTGGCTATTGAGGAAGACGTGAAAGGGCAAACGAAAGGCCGCGGACGGGGTTTAATTCCGGGGACTCGGCTTAATCCCTGGGCCCCTGGGCTAATGTGCTTGGGGATTCCGTAATACGATGGAAGTCGGTACCCTCACGGCCACTCCGCCTTCGCACAGTATACGGGCGGACGCTGCGGAAAACACGTGTGCGTATTACGTAGGTACTTTTACGTGTCGCTCGTTGCATAAATTATTCCGGTCTTCCGCGAAATTGATAATGACACTCGTGTGCTCGGTTCGGACGAATACCGGGCAAGCGTGAAACGGGGGCTCGGGCGCAAAGGAAGCGGCGCGTTTCGCGTACACGAGCAACCAGGTGTATTCGAGGATGGAAGGAGCACAACGAGTCTAGGCAGGCTAAGGGCGTGTACGGAGTCTCGAGGAAGCCGGGTTTTATTTCGCCGGGCGAAGGTTATATCCTATAAAATTTCGGAAATCGTAACGGTTCAAATCGGAAAGAGCGAGGACCACGAAGGTCCTTCGGCAGGTCTGATGACCTTCCGAGAAACACCGTAACGGACAATGACTACCTACCGACTCGGAAATTCGATGGCCGATCGGCTTCCATTTGCGGTGCAAACGACCGGACGAATCGGCCGACGCTTTTGTCCGTGTCTTCTTCTGCCGACCGTTCCCGAGATATTTCCGTTCGCAATTAAATCGGTTATTAAAGACAAATGCTTAAATCATATTTAACTAGAAAGTAATTACCTGCCGATCCAAGATCCATTTACGAACTCGTGTTCCAGCTCGGGAATAATAACAACGCGAGTAGCCACGAGACATTTATGCCGCGGATAAATCGATACCGTATCCATTTTTCCCTTTTTCCCTTTCCCACTTTTCACCCTTCCCCCCTCGGTCGGTCGATATTTCCTGGACTCGTCCAACCGAGCTAAATCGCAAATCGCAGGAGTAAATCGTACATCGTCCGTGGCGTGCAATTATCTCGCGGTTGGTCCGCGAGGTCACAGGGGCGGACCTTAACTGCGGCTCGCCTCGTTCCTCGCGTAGATCCATATACCCTTATAAAGGATCGCGTTTGTAAATCATAAAATTCGCAGTTTCACACGCTCTCCACTTCGCCCGGCCCTTCCCCCCGCGCCCCCCGTCCCCGGCGGAGGAGGAGAGCCCTCTCCGCGGGCTGCAATTACCTGCAATTTGTACTACGAGCACCGTATACGCCATCTTGCCTGTATATGTGACGCGGAGCGCATGCAGATGCGCGCGTACAAACGCGCGTCGGATCGCCGGGCGAAACTGCGAGAGGAGAAGCTACGGGAAGGTACACGGTGGAAAAAGGAGAGCGGAATCCCTGGAAAGAGAGAGAGAGAGAGGAAAGGAGAGCGAGCCGAGGACGAGAAGAGTCAAAGAGGGTGGACGTTGCGCGCAGACATCGCGACTAGCGCCACTCTCGCAGCCTTTCCTTCCATTCCATCATCCTCTGCCGTGTCCTTCGACCATTATACTTCCGACTATGAACAACCAGATATTTCCAACGCCGTCAAAAAAAGGGGAAGAAAAGGACAAAGAATAGAGGGGGGAAAAATGGGAATCGAGGAAAAGATGGAGCCATTCCAGGTGTCAACTGCTCGCGACGATTGCTCGTTGAAAGGATAGGAAACGTTAAAAGGCATTTACCAGCAGACACGAGCGTTCCTCGGCTCGTGCACTCCTCGACCTCCTCCTGCGCGATCGCCGGCGTCGCGCAT